GATTCTTTCTTCTGCTTGATCAAATCTGCTGTTGACTATTGCATTTTTCCTTTCTGATTGTATTCTTCAGCAGCAGAATTTGTTTTTTATTTCTGTCTCTTTGCTGAACTTCCATTTTGTTCATGCATTGTTTTTCTGATTTCATAGAGTTGTGTATCTGTTCTCTTATAGCTCAGTGAATTTTCTTAAAACAATTTAAATTTATTGTCAAGCAATTCATAGATCTCAATTTCTTTGGATTTGTTACTGTAATATTATTGTGCTCCTTAGGTGATATCATGTTTCCATTTTTTGTTTGTTTTCTTGAAGTCTTCCATTTCTATCCTTGCATTTGAAGAAAATCACTTCTTCCAGTCTTAATTGACTAGCTTCAGGAGAGAAATGCCTTCATCAATCTGCCTGGCTAGGAATTCTGAGGCTCTCTCCTACCTTTCCTGTGGATTCACCTGCTCCACAACCCGTTCCCACTTGCAGCAGGGGATTCTTAGAAGTTATATGCCTTCTCTAGATCCCACAAAGCCAGGCCAGGTGCTGACAGCATACTATTTGTTTCCCCTAGGGTGGTGCCCTTAAGTACTCAAGTTTGTGTACCTTGCTCCAGTTCCACAATCAAGCCATCTGTCTCTATATTTGATGCTTGCAGTTGCCATCCAATGTGGCATGCTTGGGAAGCCAGCCTCAGGGAGATGGGGGTGAGGTGCACAGAGCATTTGGGGTGGCCATGGGTCATGTGGGAGGTCCATATGCAAGGTATCCCAGTGGCTGGTGTGTACGCTTCCTGATGGAGTCTGTCGAGTGCTAAGCAGGTTTCAGAGCCTTTCTTCCCTCCTCCCAGCCTTTCCCAACACTTAGCTATGCCAATCACCTCAGTATTTTAATTGGGGCAAGAAAGAGGTAGGGTTCTTAGGCAGCATCCCACACAGCTAGGGGCTGAGCACTCACTCACTATGCTATCACCTTCTCCTAGGGGAGAAATCGTGGACTGAGGGGAGTCTCTCTTGCCACTAAGCTGTGCCAACTTCAAGGAGGAGTGATGCAGATAAAGTGAAAATGTTCTTTTTCCTTTCTTTAATGCATTTATTCTCAGATATTTCTACTCCAAGGGTGTGCTGGAACTTCTACATTGGACTTCTGGATTCCTACAAAAGAACTATCATCTGAAAGTACTGGTAAAAATCAGTGCTTCTGTGGAAGAATGATGATACAAAGCTCCTATTCTGTCATCGTGCTAACATCACTCTCTAAAGTTACTTTTAAAGGAATAAAATATTTTAGTATCTATTTTAGCCCTGATCCTGGTAGACTTTGTTTCCCTATTTTATGTTCCACGCACTACCTCATTCCCTCATTCCCATTCTGAAATTCTGTAATCCCTTTAAACTCCCCATGTGTACCTAAGCACCAGAATTTTTCAAAAAGTCATAGCAAATTAACATAAAAAAATAAATTTATTTTGAGTCTGAAATATTGAAGAACAAGCATACAGATAAACAGTACAAAGAGCAAAAATTAGAACATGAGTAATGACTTACGACACAGGCATTTTTCGAGCTATCGCATACAGACACATTTTTACATACAAACATTTTTTAAAGACATCTCTCCAACATTCTCAATAGGCAAGAGCTGTATTTGTGACATTTATAATAAATGCAACAGCTTTTAAAACATCCAATTTCTTTCCTAAATCATTTGATTAAAATTCACACAAGTGATGATTACCTATTCCATTTTCCGAAAATATGACATACAGTCATGTGCCACATGTTTCGCTCGACAATGGACCACATATGACAGAGATCCTATAAGATTATAATGGAGCTGAAAAATTCCTATCACCTAGTGATGCCACAGCCATTGTTACATTGTAGCACAATGTATTATCTGTTCTGTGTTTAGATTACACAGATACCATTGTGTTACAAATGCCTACGGTATTCAATACATGAACATGCTGTACAGGTTTGTAGCCTAGAAGTGACAGGTTTTGCCATATAGCCTAGGTGTGTAGTAGGCTCTACCACCTAGGTTTGTGTAAGTACACTTCATGATGTTCACACAATGATGAAATCACCTAATGACAAATTTCTCAGAATATAGCTGTCATTAAGTCACATATTACTGTAGAATTATAACATTGTTTGACATATTACAGACAACTTTCACTCAAAATACAGAAAAATTATCAATTCATTTTGCATTCTGTCACATATTTCACCTCCTTTCTAACAAGGAAAAATACACAAACATATATGTGTATGCTTTTCAGAAATAAAGTATTCTAAATTTCATTTGTAATTTGTTCAAAACCTCAGGAACCCAACAAGTACATGATTAGTTTAAACAACACTGATAGTTTAAAAACAAAAACAATTATTTGGGGAGAGACCTTAAAATATATTTTTGGCTGTTTTTACCTGTAACGTAAATATCAAAAGAAGTAATGATTGGACATACTCTGCTTGAGTTACCCTCAACTGACTGTTGTCCAGAGAATTTTTCTCTGGCTGGATTCAAGTTCCTGTGATATAATAATTTGGTCTATTCCATGATTAATAGCATTTAATATTTTGAAAAGATCTTTGAGATCAAACTGAACACATCCATTTCATGGATGAGGAAAATGCTGCCCAGAGAGGTTTAATGACTTGTCCAGAGTTATAGGAACGTACAGAAACACATCCAGGACATGGACACAGAGTTCCTGATTCTTAGTCAAATTCTTAAGGTGACACATTCCCCAGGGTCAGATTCTACATAATTTACAGTAACTTGATTATAAAGAATGTTATAATTTCAATATATATCAATGCAAATATTCTGCCTGATACAGTTGGGATACTTGTCCCTCCAATCTCATGTTGAAATGTAATCCTCAATGTTGCAGGATGGCCCTAATGGAAGGTGTTTGGGTCCTGGGAGTGAATCCCTCATGGCTTGGTGCTATTCTTGCAGTAGTGAGTGAGTTTTCACAAAATCTGGTTGTTTGAAGGTGTATGGCACCTCCCCGCTCTCTTGCTCCTGCTTCGCCGTGACATCTCTGCTCCCACTTAGCCTTCTACCATGAGTAAATCTCCCTGAGGGCTCTCCAGAAGCTGAGCAGACACTGGTGCCATGCTTACACAGCCTGCAGAACCGTAAGCCACTTAAACCTTTTTTATTTGTAAATTACAGTCTAAAGTATTTCTGTTCTTTTTTTCCCTAAAACAGAGTCTTGCTCTGTCACCCAGGCTGGAATGCAGAGGTGCAATCCCAGCTCACTGTAGCCTCCACCTTCCAGGTTCAGGCAATTCTCATGCCTCAGCTTCCCAAGAAGGTGGGACTACAGGTGTGTGCCACCATGTCCAGCTAATTTGTGTGTGTGTGTGTGTGTATTTTTAGTAGAGATGGGGTTTCACCATGTTGGCCAGACTGGTCTTCAACTCCTGACCTCAAGTAATCCACCCACCTCAGCCTCCCAAAGTGCTGGGATTATAGGTGTAAGCCATCGTGCTTGTGCTCAACCTCAGGTATTATTTATTTATTTGAGACAGTCTCACTTTATCTCCCAGGCTGGAGTGCAGTGGCATGATTTCAGCTCACTGCAACCTCTGCCACCCGCATTCAAGTGATTCTCCTGCTTCAGCCTCCTGAGCAGCTGGGATTACAGGCGCCTGCCACTGCGCCCGGCTCATTTTTGTATTTTTAGTAGAGACAGGGTTTCACCATCTTGGCCAGGCTGGTTTTGAACTCCTGACCTCGTGATCCACCTGCCTCGGCTTCCTAAAGTGCTGGGATTACAGGCATGAGCCACAGCCACAGCGCCTGGTTTATTTTATTTTATTTTATTTTATTTATTTATTTTTTTAGTAGAGATGGGGTTTTACCATGTTGGCCAGGTTGGTCTTGAACTCCTGATCTCAGGTGATCCACCCGCTTCGGTCTCCCAAAGTGCTGGGATTATACGCGTGAGCCACCACGCCTGGCCCAAGTATTTCTTTATAGCAATGCAACGATGGCCTAACACACTGCCTAAATCAAAACTGCTATTCACTTCAAGGGTATTCATTACCTGACTAGCTTTTTTGGGTGCATACGAACATAATGTAAATTCTATGGCTGATCAAATGTCATTACTATAAAGATACTCCCCATGAGCTCAGAGTCAGGACATCAACAATACTTAACCTCTCACTGTAAACATAACACAGTGATAGGCACTGTGGAAATATATTTGGTCCTATTTTCCCTACCTGAGCATGTAAAAGAGCAGACAACTCCAACAGTGTGATGACGCTGCAGTGAAGAAAAGAATCCACTCCCTGGCACACTGATGGAGCATGTACCTGGGAATAGTATTCCTCAAAGGAGAATGGTCATAAAAATGATACTGCAGAATTCAAACAGCATTCAAGAGATCTCCACTAAATGGAGACATGTAGGCTATCTGAAGTTATTACAGATTTCCTTATTTCAGGAATCTTCAAAGCAAAATATAGGATGTGATACAAGAAAACATGAAATAGCCAGTAACATATATGATAAAATTGTCTTACTAGAAAGTTACACATCAGGAAAAAGAAAGAAGAGAGTTTAAAATAAAAAAAAGGCAATGGGTACAAAACTACTCTATCTCAAGTTGAAATGAAAAAAATACAGTGTTAGCATTTATCCATGATAGAAAGGCAGCACAGAACAGAACTCAAGACAGAACGAGCCTGTAACCAGGCTCCTTAATGAGAACATAATTCTAAGACCAAAGTCTGGGTAGAATCTGTACACAGAATAGTTTTTGTAGCCATTTGACTGCATGTGTTAAGAAGTACTTTGTAACAAGAGTACAATAAATGGGAAAAATCGTAGAGGTCATCTGAAAGCCTGATCCCAATGCTGTCCTTTGTGGGTGAGTAGTGTCATGTTGGTATGTTGTACTCATATGAAGTGGCTTGAACAGTTGGTCAGCACAGTGAAAAGGCAGCCAATTAGGAATATATTGTACATTTAGTTCCACTGGATATTTTAACATATAAACTGCATGAACTATTATATCTTATGGGGACTGAACACCCCATATTATCACTTTAAAAAGTCTTCTAAGCTTCCATTTTCTACAAAAAAGAAAAACATCGACTTTTAAAAAGTAAATGTCAAGAAGCTTACTTTCAGATACAATATAAGACTAAAAACTGGATACTGATTAGATAAACAATAGTGTTAACATGATGTAAACAGAAGAATTTTAAGAAAATTTCCCTTAAATTAACAATTAAGCAAAATAATAATTACGCATTTAGAGCTCATATGGTAATTTTCAAGTAAGTGTGTCTATTCCCCCACCACATACAAACCCAGTCTTGGTGCTCATATATCTCTCCAAGGATGATCACATTGTCCCCAATTACTACAAGATAGTAACTTTTCCTTTCTCTTCAAATTGCTGATTCTGACTGCTTGGACAACATAACCGTTTTTGATTCTTGGTCTGTGGGACTGTCAGCTGGTACCTATAAAAATAATCAGAAGATTAAAAATGTATAGCATCTGGCATATCCTATTATAACAGATCAACAGTTGACTCGGGGGAAAAATAGCTAAATAAAAAAACATGGTTTCACATTTATTCTATACATACTTCTCAACAGTATAATCATAAAAATATTCATTACTTACAGCTTTAACATCAACATTTGTAATTCCTATATTTATGTTGTGTCTTCGCAGATCCGACTTGATTAATGCTGAAACAGAGAGGCATCAATGGAGTTACTATAAACTGTTTTGTGAAGATTTTTTTAAAAGCAGCTCAAAGTCTTTCTTGGTATTGTCAAATTTAATACACTGTAGTGTCATGATATTTAATAGCATCCCAATAGCCTGAAAAATAATAGTACCTCTCTGAAGTTGTTAACAATTAGTAAGTCATTCATTATCGAACAAACACGGGAATGCTAGCAACCAATGATACAAAAATAAAAAGTAATTCTTTTTATGAAAGGACTCTCCCATCTAGGGAAACTTTGACATGTAAACAAGTATAACAGTGTATGATAATTGCAAGGTATGGTGGGGAAGTGGGAGCAAAAAAGTCTATGTCATCAGCCAAAGGAAATTAGAGAAGGCTTTCCAGAGAAGACATACTTGATACTGGAAAAAACTGAGTAATAACTTGTCAAGCAGACAAGAGGAGAGGAAGACATTCTAGGCAGAAGGGAATGCAGGTATATCTCAGAGATATTGTGGGTTCAGCTACAGATCACCACAAGAGTGAATATTGCTGGGCACGGTGGCTCACGCCTGTAATCCCAGCACTTTGGGAGGCTGAGGTAGGTGGATCACAAGGTCAGGAGATTGAAACCATCCTGGCTAACACAGTGAAACCCCATCTCTAGTAAAAACAAAAAGTGAGCCAGACATGGCGGCACGCACCTGTAGTCCCAACAACTAGGGAGGCTGAGGCAGGAGAATTGCTTGAACCTGGGAGATGCAGTTTGCAGAGAGCCGAGATCACGAAACTGCACAAATTTTTTGGTTTTCCAGTGCATAAAAAGTTATGTTTATACTATACTGTAGTCTATTTAAAGTTTGCAATAGCATTATGTCTAAAAAAAATCAATCTACATGCCTTAATTTAAAAACACTTTACTGGCCAGGCACGGTGGCTCATGTCTGTAATCCTAGCACTTTGGGAGGCTGAGGCAGGAGGATCACCTGAGGTCAGGAGTTCGAGACCAGTCTAACCAACATAGTGAAACCCCCATCTCTACTAAAAATACAAAAATTAGCCGGTATGGTGGTGGGCATCTGTAATCCCAGCTATTCAGGAGGCTGAGGCAGGAGAATTACTTGAACCCAGGAGGCAGAAGTTGCAGTGAGCCGGGATGGCGCTATTCCACTCCAGCCTGGGCAACAAGAGCAAAACTCCATCTAAAACAAAACAAAACAAAACAAAAAACACTTTACTGCTAAAAAATGGTAATTATTATCCGAGCCTTCTGCAAGTTCTCTTTTTGCTAGTGGAGGGTCTTGCCTTGATGTTGATGGCTGCTGACAGATCAGGGTGGTGGTTGCTAAAAGGTGGGAGTGGCTGTGACAATTTCTTAAAGTAAGACAGTGACGAAGTTTGCCATATTAATCAACTCTTCCTTTCATGAAAGATCTCTCTGTGTGCAATACTTGTTTGATAACATTTTACCCACAAAACTTCCTCAAAATAGGAGTCAATCTTCTCAAACCCTGCCACTGCTTCATCAACTAGTTTATATAATATTCTAAATCCTCTGTTGTCATTTCAACATTTACAGCATCTTTACTAGTAGATTCCAACTCACGAAAACACTTTCTTTGCTTATCCATAAGAAGCAACCCTTCATTTGTTCAAGTTTTACCATGAGATGCAGCAATTCAGTTACCTCTTCATATTCCACTTCTAATTCCAGTTCTCTTGTTATTCCCACCACATCTGCAGCTATTTCCTCCACTGAAGTCTTGAACCCCTCAAAATCATCCATGAGAATGAGAATTAACTTCCTCCAAACTCCTGTTAATGTTGATAGTTTGACCTTCTCCCATGAATCAAGAATGTTCTTAATGGCATCTAGGATGGTGCATCCTTTCCAGAAAGTTCTCAATTTACTTTGCCCAGATCCAAGAGAGGAATAATTATTTCTGGCAGCTACAGCCTTTTGAAATGTATTTCTTAAAGAATAAGACTTGAAAGTTGAAATTACTCCTTGATCTATGGGCTGCAGAAGGGATGCTGTATTTCCAGGCATGAAAACAACGTTGATCTCCTTGTACATCTTCATCAGAGCTCTTGGGTAAACAGGTGAATTGGTCAAAGAGCAGTAATATTTTGAAAGGAATGTTTTTCTGAGTAGCAGGCTTCAACAATGGGTTTAAAATATTCAGCAAACCATGCTATTAACAGATGTACTATCAACTACAGGTTTCAGGTTCATTGTTCCATTGATAGAGCTTAGGCAGAGCAAATTTAGCCTAATTCTTACCGGCCCTAGGATTTTCAGAATGGTCAACAAGCATTAGTTTCAATTTAAAGTCACCAGCTGCATCAACCCCTCACAGGAGAGTCAGCTTGTCCTTTGAAGCCAGACATTGATTCCTCCTCTATAGCTATGGCAGTCCTAGATGGCATCTTCTTCCAATATAAGCCTGTTTCATCTACATGGAAAATTTGTTGTTTATTGTAGCCACCTTCATCAACAATCTTAGCTAGATCTTCTGGATAATTTATTTCAGTATCTACATCAGCACTTGCTGCTTCACCTTGCACTTTTATGTTATGAAGACAACTTCTTTCCTTACCTCATGAACTGACTTCTGCTAGCTTCCAGCTTTTCTTCTGCAACTTTCTCACCTCTTTCAGCTTTCACAGAATTGGACAGTTAGGGCCTTGCTCTAGATTAGGCTTTGGTTTCCGGGGATGTTGTGGCTGGTATGATCTTCTAACAAGACCACTCAAACTTTCTCCATATCAATAAGGATGTTGTGCTTTATCATTTGTGTGTTCAATGGAGTAGCATTCTTAATTTCCCTTAAGAATTTTTCCTTTGCATTAGCAACTTGGCTAATTGTTTGGTGCAAAAGGCCTAGCTTTTGGGCTCTCTGGGCTTTTGACATGACTTCCTCACTAAGCTTAATCATTTTTAGCTTCTGATTTAAGATGAGAGATTTACTACTCTTCCTTTCGCTTAAACACTAGAGGCCATTGTAGGGATATTAATTCAGGGGTATTAATCAGGACCCTGATGTCAATATTGCATGTTTGAGAGAACAGGGAAGCCCAACAAGGGGAAGAGAGATATAGGAATGGCTGGTCAGTGGAGCAGTCAGAACACACAAAACCTTTATTAAGTTCGCTGTCTTTTATGGGTGTAGTTCATGATGGCCCCAAACAATTACAATAGTAACACCAAAGATCACTATTGCAGAAGACCATAACAGATATAATAATAATAAAGCTCTGTAGTAAAATACTCAACATATGAGAGAAATTAATTAGCATTTAAGATGGTAAAAGCATTAATGTAAAACTAATTTTAAAGATTTATTCTCACTTCTTATTTTTCAAGACTTGATTTGTTTGAATTAGTATTCATGAATCTCTTGTAAAAGTAATTTGAAAGGGGATTACAAAACTGCTCCCTTCTTTGGTATAACAATAATACTTTTTTTTTGAGACAGAGTCTCGCTTGTTGTGCAGGCTGGAGTGCAGTGGTGTGATCTTCACTCACTGCAACCTTCGCCTCCCAGGTTCAAGCAATTCTTCTGCCTCAGCCTCCCAGGTAGCTGAGATTACAGGTGTGTGCCCCCACACCTGGCTGAATTTTTTTGTATTTTTAGTAGACACGAAGTTTCACTATGTTGGTCAGGCTGGTCTCGAACTCCTGACCCCAAATGATCCGCCTGTCTCAGCTTCCCAAAGTGCTGGGAATATAACCGTGAGCCACCATGTCCAGCCAATAGTAATAGTCTTAGATAAGATATAGTACTTGCCTAGAAGTTAAGAACCAACATGGAATTACTTATGAAAGAATAGTTAAATATTACATATTTATTTAATATCTTGTTAATATATTACATATTTCACAGTTTTGTATGTTTCATTTTACTAATTGGATAGGGGGAAAAACTCCCTTGTGATAAGATGCTTTTTCTTTGAGGAACCAGACTACACTCACTTTCCTTTAGCTTAACGAATGAATGCTCAGGTTCCTATCATTCATAAAACAATGAGTGAGCAACCTTAGGTAGTTGTGTATATCCAAAATCTTTATCACTGGTGAGATTTCATATTGAAGGTTTCACAAAGAATGATCAGGTATTCAACAAACAGTAGAAGAAATTCTGATTCACATCTTTCTGATAGATTCTGTCCTCCAACTAAGTTATAACCAGATCAAAGAAGCACAATCTCTCTTGGTATCTGCAAGGAACTGATTCCAAGAACCCGCCTCAGATACCAAAATCCATGAATGCTCAATTCCTTTATGTGAAATGGTGTAGTATAAGCTTGTTCAACCTGTGGTCTGCAGGCCATATGTGGCCCAGGACAGTTTTAAATGTGGCCCAATACAAACTCATAAATTTTTTAAAAACATTATGAGATATTTTGCAATTTTTTTTTTTAGCTCATTAGCTATCATTAGTATTAGAGTAGTTCATGTGTGGCCTAAGATAATTCTTGTTCCAATGTGGTCCAGAGAAGGCAAAAGATTGGACCCCCCTGGGTAGTATTTATATATAACATATACACATCCTCCTACATACTTAAACCATCTCTAGATTACTAATACCGAATACAATGTAAATAGTTGTTATACTATAATGTTTAGGGAATGATGACTTTTTTTTTTTTTTTTTTTTTTGAGACGGAGTCTCGCTCTGTCGCCCAGGCTGGAGTGCAGTGGCCGGATCTCAGCTCACTGCAAGCTCCGCCTTCCGGGTTCACGCCATTCTCCTGCCTCAGCCTCCCGAGTAGCTGGGACTACAGGCGCCCGCCACCTCGCCCGGCTAGTTTTTTGTATTTTTTAGTAGAGACGGGGTTTCACCGTGTTAGCCAGGATAGTCTCGATCTCCTGATCTCGTGATCCACCCGTCTCGGCCTCCCAAAGTGCTGGGATTACAGGCTTGAGCCACCGCGCCCGGCGGAATGATGACATTTTAAAAGTCTGTACATGTTCAGTGCAGATGCAACCATCCATTTTTTTTTCCAATTAATTTCAACCCACAGTTGAATCCACAGATGAAGAACCCACGGGATACACAAAGGGCTGACTATAATCTCTTCCGAATATACAAAGCTTCTGTCCCTCACGATGGTAAAGGGATACAGAAGGAAATTCACAAAGTAAAATAATACTACAAGCCAGCATGCACCTGGAAATACTTCTGAACATAAGTCTTGCTTCCAAATCTATTGTACACCCATGTGCATGGGCAAACTATGGATAAAAATTCTGTGACATTCTCTTTCTCTGGAGATTGAGCACTATTTTCTTTCCTGCCCATGTCTATGATGACTATACCTGAGAAGTATAAGCACTAGCTAAGGATTCCACATACTATTTCCACCACTACCACTTGACTGCTTACCACCTCTACCACATTGTAACAGTAGAAACACGTGTTAGGCACGTCCTAGGTGCCAGACACTAGGAACTTTTCATGAACCATTTCAATTAATCCTCACGGTAACCCTATAAAGCAGGCTTTAACGCTCTATTATATAAATGAGGAAAGGAGGATGTGAGAGGTTAAGCAACCTGTCTAAAGTCACACTCCCAGTGAGCAGCAGAATCGCAATTTGAGGCCAGGTCTTCCCAACTCCAGGTCTTCACTACTCTTTTTTTTGAGACAGAGTCTTGCTGTTGCCCAGGCTAGAGTGCACTGGTGCAATCTTGACTCACTGCAACCTCTGTCTCCTGGGTTCAAGCGATTTTCCTGCCTCAGCCTCCCAAGTAGCGGGGACTACAGGTGCGCGCTACCACACCTGGCAAATTTTAGTAGAGATGGGGTTTTGCCATGTTGGCCAGGTTGGTCTCAAACTCCTCACCTCAAGTAATCTGCCCGCCTCTGCTTCCCAAAGTGCTGGGATTATAGGCATGAGCCAACGCACCAGGCCTTTACTACTCTTTTTACAACAGTTTTGCTTGCTATGCAGAGTAACTATATTGAATTTGAAATCTGCAAAATGAATAGATTCATGTCCTTAGAAGAAAACAAATAATGTCCTGCTTTTTCCCTCATTTTTTCCCCTTGAGTTCTGCCAAGCTATTGAGAAGCAATATACATGAAAATTAACACATGACACAAGTCCTTTTGCCAGGCAAACGCCCTAATTTACCTGTTAAAATGATGCCTATAAACATCCAGACACAGAGAAAAATGTTTCCTGCCTTAGGACCATAATCTGATGTGAGCTTTCCTTGAGCCAATGTGAACAAAATTCCAAATATCTAAAATACAATAAGAAAAATAATTTGTTATTAAGTTTACTTATTTAAAACAAGTATAAAGTTTTCACCAGAACTTTTCTTAACTTATTGTTTATACGATTTGTTTTCTAGAAACATTCATTGAAAAGTTGAATTATTAAACAAAAACCATGGTCAGGCTGGGCACAGTGGCTCACACCTGTAATCCTAGCACTTTGGGAGGTTGAGGTAGGCGAATTGCTTGAGCCCAGGAGTCCGAGACCAGCCTGGACAATAAGGCGAAACCTCCTCTCTACACAAAATAACAAAAAACATTTAGCTGGGCATGCTGGTGTGCACCTGTCATCCCAAATACTCTGGAGGCAGAGGAGGGAAGATTGCTTGAGCCTAGGAGTTTGAAGCTGCAGTGAGCCATGACTGCACTACTGCACTCCAGCTTGGGTAGCAGAGCAAAACCCTATTTCCAAAAAACAAAACAACAACAACAACAAATAAAACCATGGTCAAACTCATTACTCACTAGAATATCTGGTATAATAATCATCTCAGGTTTACAGAAATCAGAGGTTTACCTGTGCAGAAGCATTAAGAAGACCAGATGAAGTACCTTCAGATTCAGGGTAAGTGATTTCAACAGCAAATTCAAAACCCAAAGGGAGGTAACCAGTCATGAAGAAGCTAGGAAAATAAATCCAGAATTATAGAAAGAATTATCAGAAGGTCACAATCACATACTGATGTAATCATTCTGCATCTCAGGCTTATTCTAATGACCAAATAAGTGAATATTTTGAAGTTGCTATGTCAAAGTAAGGAACTATTATTATTGACGAATCAGCTCAAGGTTACAGAACTGGAAGCAACAAATACCAAATTTTTTTCTGAGAAAAATTTACTTCTAGTTTTGTAAGTCAACTGTCTTTGTAACCAAATAAACTTACACAGATTAAGTAAGGCTTATCCATTTTGTTTACCTATGGTATACCAAAAACCAATTTTAAAGAATTTTAATAGTTCTTAAGAATTACACGTTTATATGCACAGAATGAATCCTTAAAGTTTAAAATATTGAAGAACCTTTGGATGAACTTAAAAAATTAGAGACCAGAGTAATAATACTTCAGAATTATAACAGCATGCTATCACTTCTCCTAAACACATCTGATACTTACCCAAGCACCCCTCCAGTAACAAACACGATGATAATGTATCCAAGGTCCAATGTGAAAGTAAAGATAACCATTCCAATAAAAGACAAAATATAAACTATCAGAGTAGTCTGTCTAAAACAAAAACAACAAAGTTGTTAGTATTTTGTCTAATTCTCCTAGACATATAAAAATCATCACTCTTATCTGTTCAGTAATGAATCTTTGTTTTTCAAATTTCACCCCTTCTTGTCTATGGAAAATGTATCCACCAAAGCATAAATTTTAAAGCATTTTTAATTTAAGATTCAGCAGCATCAGGAAACAAAACCACACCATATCGAATGCTCAGACGGGGACACTTTTTTATGAATAAAATCATTTTTATGCCACCAAATGGGATAGTTCCCTATTCACATTTCAAGATTCGGATCAAATTCTACCTCTTCCAAATGCCTTCTAGAACCACACCAGCTTATAAGGGTCTCTCTTTCTTCTAAATTCCTTTGTCATTTTGGTACTATAAAACTGATGACATCTATTTTAGTTTGTTATATTATTTAACTTTTCACATGTGAATGCCTTATTTGCTCCATTTAGACCACAAACATGTTAACAACAGGGATCACATACTGCTTGCCATAATTTTCATCTAAGAGAGATGCACACAACAGGAGTTTGGTGAATGAATGGCAGTTACCCTGAGAAGAAAGCCACAGTGGCGAAGAACACACGTCTATGCCTATCAAGTTTTCTAAATGTATAATGGATGAAAAACTTAAGGAATTTAATCCTTTACATATGCTTCCTTCATCTATAAATCAAGTAGGTTTCACTCTAAGCTATCAGTTTACAATAATGAAGCTAAGGTAAGTGTTGTCTTAAATTATGGAAAAATTATCTTGGAGAATTTCAAGATTAGAGATATTTTTGGTAGGGTTTAGACTAATAATATCAAATATATCTTGAGCCTTGAAAGGTGCACGGGACACAGTTCCATATTTCATTCACTTATTCATTAATAGTTTCATTCATTCATTTCCAAGTACAGGGGGAAGTTTTGGCCTGTTAAAAAATGTGGTGATTCTTTTAACTCCCAGAGCAAAATATGCTGCCTCTGAAACCCTTTCTTAGTCTCCCAGTTGGTATCATTTATTTTCTTTGGTATTAGCATTTTGGTGGCTCCATATAATGTACAATTAACAGAATATATTCTTTTTTTTTTTTTTTTTTTTTTTAGACAGTGTCTTGCTCTGTCACCCAAGCTGAAGTCCAGTGGCATGCTATCTCAGCTCACTGCAACCTCTGCCTCCTGGGTTCAAGCAATTTTCCTTCCTTAGCCTCCTGAGTAGCTAGTATTACAGATGCCCATCACCACACTCAGCTACTTTTTGTATTTTCAGTAGAGATGGAGTTTTGCCATGTTGCCCAGGCTGGTCTCCAACTCCTGGCGTTAAGCAATCTACCCACCTTGGCCTCCCAAAGTGCTGGGATTACAGGCGTAAGACATTGTATCAAGCCAGCACTTTCACATTATGCATTATATTACAGTTAACTGGTACTATAGTCTGGGGGTACTTTAGCCAAAAAGTTTTTAGTAAAATAAAGCCTTATGCTCAACGATAATTTTTTGATCGGAAATAATTACTTTTTTGTTTTTGTATTTAAGCCCACAACATAAGAAAAGAACAAGATAGGCTGGGCATGGTGGCTCCTGCCTGTAATCCCAGCACTTTGGGAGGCTGAGGTGGGTGGACTGCCTGACCTCAGGAGTTCAAAACCAGCCTGGGCAACATGGCGAAACCCTGTCTCCAAAAAGTCAAAAAATTAGCTGAGTGCGGTGGTGCACACCTGTGGTCACAGCTACTCAGGAGGCTGAGGTGGGAGAATCACTTGAGCCTGGAAAGCAGAAGTTACAGTGAGCCAAGATGGTACCACTGCATTCCAGCCAGGGTGACAGAGTGAGACCCCACCTTAAAAAAAAAAAAAAAAAAAGACAAAGTCTATCAAAAGTCAAATATTTCTCAGAAATGGCTCTTTTTAGAATAGAAATAATTCCTTCTGAAGTGGTAGGTATGAGTATTGTTAGAAAGAAGGGATTCATAAGGTATCCAAGTTCTCAAAATTGAAATAAATGTGACCAATAAAATAATACAATACATAGAGGATTGAAACACTTAAGTGAAGAGAACCTACTAGTGTTTAGAATCCATATCTAAGTAATAACATGTTTTAAATTTCTTAAAATAAAAAGCAAATTGTCTTTTAAAATCAAAATACCTTTGGTTACACACCATACATGTATTTACTTTCACTTACTTGTATGTTTTGGTATAATCCAGCCATAAGCCACAAAGAATAGAGCCCACCATTCCAGCTACTACTAGTGTTAGCCCAATCCTTCCAGCATTGACTTCTTCTCCCTGAAAACAATTTGCATGAGAAGTTGATCAAATAAATGGATTAACTAATTCAGACTCTTCACATTCCCACACCTTTTCATAGTCAATGAAAATAATTAAACTAAGCACACAGTAGGAAGATTTAGTACACGTGTTAGGGTGGGAGGGGAGAGCAGGTAAAGAATATACATAAGCATTACATTTTAAAAAAAGAAAAGAAGCCTAAAATAATAGAAGAAATAAAAAAGGAAAAATTTCCTTAATCCTCTATGGTTAGAAGTACAATGATTTTTGTGAGGATTCTTAAGTATAGATAGTCATGTGTTCCATGATGACATCTAGCTCAACACTGACTCATATATACAGTAGTGATCCCGTAAGATTATAATACCATATTTTTATTCTACCTTCTCTGTTTAGATATATTTAGATACACAATACTTACCATTGTATTACAACTGCCTACAATATTCAGTAAAGTAACATGCTATACAGGTTTGTAACCTAGGAGCAACAGGCTATACCACACAGGCTAGGTATGCCTACTACCTAATGGTGTAGCCTACTAAACCTAATGGTGTAGCCTACTACACTGTATTATACTCACACAACAATAAAGTACACTATATTATATTCACAACAATGAAACTGCCTAGTGAATTTCTCAGAAGGTATCTCTGTCACTAAGCAAGGTATGACACTGTATAGATGTCTCAAAAGGTGGTTAATCGATAGCTTTTACATAGTACAACTGCTTTACCCTTTCAAAAGCAAAGACACGTCAATCGGAACTTGATATTTATTTATCTATATTTATGCTGAGTTCCCTTAAAATGTTTTGTCTTTTTCCATATAACCAATCATATTATTTCCTAAAAATAAACTTAGGTATCATCACAGGGATAGTAACTTCTGCTTTCCATATTGTGTGGTTTTTTTTGTTTGTTTTTTTTGAGGTGAAGTCTCACTCTGTCGCTAGGCTGGAGCGCAATGGTGCTATCTTGGCTGGGATTACAGGTGTGGGCCACAGTGTCTGGTGTGTTTTTTGTTTTTTTTGAGACAGGGATTTGCTCTTATTGCCCAGGCTGGAATGCAATGGAACGATCTCGGCTCACCACCACCTCCACCTCCCAGGCTCAAGCGTTTCTCCTGACTCAGCCTCCCGAATAGCTGGGATTACAGGCATGCGCCACCACGCCCAGCTAATTTTGTATTTTTAGTAGAGACGGGGTTTCTCCATGTTGGTCAGGCTGGTCTCAAACTTCTGACCTCAGGTGATCCTCCTCGGCCTCCGAAAGTGCTGGGTTTACAGGTGTGAGCCACTGCGCCTGGCCATACTGTGTGTTTTATAAACTGGATTAAATATGTTAAATTAAAATGATAGGAGGCCATTGTTTTGGAGTGAGCTCCCACACTAGACCCAACAGACCAGACCACACAGAACAGTGTCACTAGCGCTAGGTGCCACATAATCAAACCGAAATTTAAAATGGGCCACTTTTCCAAAAAAAAAGAGATTCATAAGCAACCTGTTAGATGGGGCCCAGTCCCCTTTGTTTTAATCCTATAAGGAAAGTAACTTTGTAACAACGAATCTGCTCTTTGCTCCTTGTTTCTGCTTTCTTCAGTCTTTTTCTGTCTATAAAGCCCATCTCCTCTGCTCAGCTCATCAGTACCTTTCTAAATCTTTAGATGGGATGCTGTCCGATAAAGGAATCGATAATAAAAGCCAATCAGATCTCTAAAGTTGTGGAAATTTCATTTTTTAACAAATATATTCTCAATTAAAACAAATGTAAATATTTGATAGCAACAATGTCATAATCCTTAATCTCATGACCCTGCTAACGACAGTTATATTGCTAAAGAAAAATTCTTGGCCAGGCATGCAATCTGACACAAGCAGAAGCTTACCTCATAATATGTCAATATCATTTGATTTAATAATGTTGAGACTGAATAAAAGGCACCAGTCATGATACCTACAATAATAAAGATGATGTTAAATCATGATATTTACAATAATAAAGAGAATACTAAAAGTGTGTCATTTACCAGTTCATGAAGTGACATGAAATATTATGTGACAATTGTGGAAATATATTTCTTTTCTTTTCTTTTTTTTTTTTTTTTTTTTTTTTGAGACGGAGTCTCACTCTGTCGCCCAGGCTGGAAGTGCAGCAGTACAAACACAACTCACTGCATCCTTGATCTCCTGGGCTCAAACGATTTTCCTACCCCAGACCCACAAATAGCTGGGACTAGAGGCACAGGCCACCGTGAATGGATAATTTTTGGATTTTTTGTAGAGATGAGGTTTTGCCACATTGCCTAGGATGTGGGTCTCCTTTTATACCTTTCAATGTTTTATAATTTTCTCTATGAAGTTCTTTTGGTATATTTATTCTAAGATATCTTTATAGTTTTAGTTGCTATTATAAAAGATATCTTTCATAGGAATACAATACTTATAAATACATAGGAATGCAATTGATATTTTCACATTGTCAGCTATTTAGTAACTTTGCTAACTCATTCTTACTAGTTTTAATAGCTGTCTCTAGGTTCTTTCGTATTATTTTAATAGATGGATGATCACCAAACATTTTCTGTAAAGCATCAGGTAGCAAACCTTTGTTAGCTTTGTAGGACATATGGTCTCTGATGTAACTAATGTAACTACTCAACTCTGCCCTAGTAGTTCAAAAGCAGCTATAGACAATATGTAGACAAACAAAACTTTAATATAAAAATAGGCAATGGCCAGATTTGGCTCATGGGTCACGGTTTGCTGACCTCTGATATGCATAATTATAGTATGAGCAATAACATCTGTTTTCTGTTTCATATGCCTTTTATTTCTTTTTTCTTGTGTTATTGAGCCAGCCAGTACCTCCAGTTAGATGTTGAACGGAAGTGATGACAGTAAATATCCTTAAGGATACTTCTTATTGATTCTTAAGGAGAATGGCTCTAACGTTTGCCTTTAGTATAATACTTGCTATAGGGTCTTTGTAGATAAGCTTTATCAGGTTCAGAAAGTTCATTTGTTGGCACCTAATTAAACTGAAGAGCCTCCGCACAGCAAAAAACAAAACAAAACAAAACAAAAACTATCATCAGAGTGAACAGACAACTTACAGAATGGGAGAAAATTTTTGCAATTTATCCATCTGACAAAGGTCTAATATCCAGAGTCTACAGGAATTTAAATTTACAAGAAAAAGACAACCTCAATAAAAAGTGGGCAAAGGACATGAACAAACACTTGTCAAAAGACATTCATGTGGCCAAACATGAAAAAAAGATCAACATCACTGGTAATTACAGAAATGCAAATCAAAACCACAATGAGATACCATTTCATGCCAGTCAGAATGGCGATTATTAAAATGTCAAGAAACAACAGATGCTGGCGAGGCTGTGGAGAAAAAAGAACACTTTTACACTGCTGGAAGGAGTATAAATTAATTCAACCACTGTAGAAGACAGTGTGACAATTCCCAAGATATAGAAGCAGAAATACCATTTGACCCATCAATCCCATTACTGGGTATATACCCAAAGGAACATATATCATTCTGTTATAAAGATATATGCACATGTATGTTTACTGCAGCACTATTCACAATAGCAAAGACATGGAATCAACCCAAATGCCCATCAATAATAGACTGGATAAAGAAAACGTAGTATGTTTACACCATGGAATACTATACAGCCAAAAAGAAATGAGATCAGGCCGGGTGCGGTGGCTCATGCCTGTAATCCTGACACTTTGGGAGGCTGAGGCAGGTGGATCACCTGAGATCAGGAGTTCGAGACCAGCCTGACCACCATGGTGAAACCCTGTCTCTACTAAAAATACAAAAATTAGCCAGACATGTTGGCACGTGCCTGTAATCCCAGCTACTCGGGAGGCTGAGGCAGGAGAATCACCTGAACCTGGGGGGCAGAGGTTGCAGTGAGCCGTGATTGTGTGCACTCCAGCCTGGGCAATAAGAGTGAAACTCTGTCTCAAAAAAAAAAAAAGAAATGAGATAAATGTCCTTTGCAGGGACATGGATGGAGCTGGAAGCAGTTATTCTCAGCAAACTAAGGCAATAACAGAAAACCAAATACAACACATTCTCACTTATAAGTGGGAGCGGAATGATGGACACATGGTGCATGAGGGTGGAAACAACAAACATTGGGACATTTCGGGTTTGGGGGAGGAAGAGCATCAGGAATAATAGCTAATGGATGCTAGGCTTAATACCTAGATGATGCCTGAGGTCAGGAATTCGAGACCAACCTGGCTAACATGGCAAAACCCCATCTCTACTAAAAACACAAAAATTAGCCAAGTGTGGTGGCACTTGCCTGTAGTCCCAGCTACTCGGGAAGCTGAGGCAAAAGAACCGCTTGAACCCGGGAAGTGGAGGTTGCAGTGAGCCAAGATCACGCCACTGCACTCCAGCCTGGGTGACAGAGTGAGAAACCAACAAAACCGATATTGCAATTAACTTAATCATTTATATATAATCAAGGTTTTTTTTTGTTTTTTTCTCAGATAGAGTCTTGATCCGTCACCCAGGCTGGAGTGCAGTGGCACGATCTCAGCATATTGCAACCTTTGCCTTCCGGGTTCAAGTGATTCTCCTGCCTCAGCCTCCCGAGTAGCTGGAACTACAGGTGCACACCATCATGCCCAGCTAATTTTTGTATTTTCAGTAGACACGGGGTTTTGCCATGTTCGCCAGGCTGGTCTTGAACTGGCCTCAAGTGATCCACCCACCTTGGCCTCCCAAAGTGTTAGGATTACAGGCGTGAGCCACTGTGCCCAGCCCCAGTAAGCATTAAGCGATGTGGTACAAAGACACCAAAACTCCACAGATACCTGAGTGCTCACTGAAGGCACAATCTAACACCCTCGCTGGTGCTATTTTCTTCCTCCCCTTTGTCTATTCAAATCCAACCCACTCTTCAAGGCCCAGCTCAACCACTCCCTTCTGTGAGACTCTCCCTGCCATCCCTAGGCCTTCCCTTCATTTATCCTTTCTCAATGATAGGTCTCAATGAAGGCCTTCAGCATGCACTTGCCATACAACTTATCTTGTGTTGTTATCCTTTTGATAAATACCAACTGTAATGTTGCTTACTTTTCGGACATTTATATTATCTCTCCAGTTAGATGATCAATTTCCTATGGACAGAAATCATGTATCATGCCTCTTTCTAGCCACAAAACATCTAGAGCACTACTATACATTTAGTTGGTATTTGATAGCTATTGATGGAATAAATAAATAAAAGAATGAACACCAAAATGAACAATAAGTGAGGCAAAGATTAAGCTAGCTCTTGCAGGATTGCTTACAGAAAAAAGAAGCACATTTCCAGTAAAAGAAATATTGGCACAAAATTACAGAGACTAGAATTAACAGTGTATATCATGTGGAGATGTGTCTGTGTGTGTGTGCTTGTGTATGTCTGTGACAGGGGGTTAGTTATAAGTGTGGCTGAAAGAGAATTTTGTATTGGGAAAGTGAGTGATAAAAGAGTGATAACAAAAAGCCAGGCCAGATGCGGTGGCTCACACCTGTAATCCCAGCATTTTGGGAGGCAAAGGCAGACAGATCACGAGGTCAGGAGTTTGAGACCAGCCTGGTCAACATGGTGAAACCCTGCCTCTACTAAAAATACAAAAATTAGCCGGGCATGGTGGCATGCACCTGTAATCTCAGCTACTAGGGAGGCTGAGGCAGGAGAATTGCTTGAACCTGAGAGGTAGAGGTTGCAGTGAGCCGAGATTGCGCCACTGTCCTCCAGCCTGGGTGACAAAGCGAGACTCTGTCTCAAAAAAAAAAAAAAAAGAAAACAGCCACCTTAAATGACAGGCAAAAGAAATTAATTTGCTCTACTATTTAACAATAAGCCACTATATTTTCTCTGTATCTAATTAGGAATTTTAGGTTTAACCTAAACAAGAAGGTAACCAGCAAAATTAAGAAAACGAACTATGTCATGCAAAAGTATTAATATATAAGGATGAGATGATACGGCATCTGGGATTTGCTTTAAAATATTCCAGGAAAGGCTGGGCGTGGTGGCTCACGCCTGTAATCCCAGCACTTTTGGAGGCCAAGGCGGGCAGATCACCTGAGATCAAGTGTTTGAGACCAGCCTAGCCAACATGGTGAAACCCTATCTCTACTAAAAATATGAAAAATTAGCCAGGTGTGGTTACGGGCACCTGTAATCCCAGCTACTCGAGAGGCTGAGGCAGAATTGCTTGAACCTGGGAGGTGCAGGATACAATGAGCTGAGATCGCACCACTGCACTACAGTCTGGGCAACAAGAGTGAAACTCCGTCTCAAAAAAATACATTCCAGGAAAAAAAGGGAGGAAATAGATGAAGCAAGAATGGCAAAATGTTGATAACTGTTGAAGCGGGGTGATGGCATACACAGGACATAGGTATATAGGAATTTATTAGATTAAATGTTCAACTTTGGTGATGAGTAATTTCTACTTAAAAAAAAAAGAACTAATCCTGGTAAAAATAGTTTAGGTCAGGACTTAATCTGCTATAACTTGTAAAACATTTATGTACCAGGGTTTGTATCCCCAAAAAATGTGAAACAGAGAATAGCAGTGAGTGATTTCTGGAGGCAAGTAAGACAGAAATAGGGAGTGCTGGTGTTCACGTAAATGGTGTTAACACAAGAAACAAAGAATGAACTGTCAGAAAACTCTGAAGAAAACCAAGTGTGTTGGTGTCTGTAGTCAAACGTACAGTGTCAGGATGAATACCTGTCAGCTATCCTGAAAGATCTGGAGAGAGAGAATTTTCTTAGATGTCAAAACGGGTTAAGGTGAGTTCCTTAATGTCTAGTTTTGACTGAGAAGTCAAAACAGATGCCAGCTTGCAGTGTCAAAGAAAGGTATTGCTGATAGCATTTCCCACATGCTTATACAAGTATAACTATAGTTCACAAATGGCCTAAAACACTCCATGAGAACTCACAAAAGAAGACTGAGTTTCTCTATTTGAGAACTACTTTTCTTTCTTTCTTTTTTTTTGAGATAGTCTCACTCTGTTGCCCAGGCTGGAGTGCAGTGGCGCAATCTTGGCTCACTGTAACCTCTGCCTTCTAGGTTCAAGCGATTCTCCTGCCTCAGCTACCCGACTAGCTGGGATTACAGGTGTGTGCCATCACACCCAGATAATTTTTGTATTTTTAGTAGAGATGGGGTTTCACCGTGTTCACCAGGCTGGTCCCAAACTCCTGACATCAAGTGATCCACACACCTCGGCCAACCCAAGTGCTGGGATTACCAGCGTAAGCCATCATGCCTGGCCAAAAACTACTTTTTAAAAAATATTATTTTTAAAAACATGTAAGAAGATCCATCCTGGATTTTCTGCTTTTAGTTTAAAATTTAAATTCATGATTATGCTATAGAGTTAACAGGCCAATCTCATTGAAGTTCAAACCACTAGGTTAAATGAAAAGAATTCACAACGCTAAAAGGCTCACACAGACATTAAAGAAAGTACAAGAAAACCACTTACCATAAGTGATCAACAGAAGGACAAAAGGAATGTTTTTAAACAGGTTTCTTATTGATTTCTTATAAGAGTACTCTTCAGGGGGACTGTCTTGAAGAGCTGCTTGAGCCTGACTTGGTGGATACCGAGGTTTTTCTTTGAAGGCTGAGAATATATATAAAAAGATTATGTATATTTAATATATGTATGATATGTTGTTATATATTACAATAAGTAATTAATTATATGTATCTTCCTTAGTGAGCAGACAGAATACAGTCTAAGTTTAAAGAGGTAGTATAAGTCTTTTATGGTGAGGGTTTTCATTTTCACTGATTTCTAAGTGAAGTATAACACTGTCATCTCAGTTCTCTGAAACTGACTAAAACTCAGAGATATGGCCAATTTCACATAATGAACTGCAAAACCATCAATAACATGCCACAACCTTGCTGACTGATTATTCTATTTACCTAAGAAAGACTAATTTTTACTACATCAAATATTCAACAACTCTACTTTTAAATTCAGTTCAATTTGTAATTAGAGATAAACATGAAGGCTGGGCACAGTGGCTCATGCTTGTAATCCCAGCTCTTTGGGAGGCTGAAGCGGGAAGAACCCTTGAGCCTGGGAAGTCAAGGCTGCAGTGAGCTGTGATTGCGCCATTGCACTCCAGCCTGGGCAACTGAGCAGGACCCTCTCTCCAAAAAAAAAAGGAAAATAGAAGAGAGAAATAAAAAATCAGATATGAGGAAGCCAATATACTATTGAACTTTTAAAGGACTTGAGTTAGTAACCATTTTCTTCTGAAATTTGATATGAAGTTTATCATCTGATCCAACTGCACCTCTGGGATTGAAAAATTTCAGGTGGATTCATGGAAGCAGAGCTAGGTCTTACTAACTCACTTGAGCTGCATATGGAAAGGACAGGGGTAGAGCTAAGAGACATAAAAGTGTAGTATATGGTGTCTGATACTGTAAGTTTCAGCACTGTCCATTTCTAGTTAGAAATTTCACAGCCATCCCAGGCACACATCTAGAGACCACCTTTTAGCTGTGCAGGAAAGGATCAACCAACTTTCCACAAAAGATGGCTATACAGAGATTTCTTTAGGATTAGGCTAACCAGAAGTCAAGACTAATTCATAGGCCAGGCATGGTGCTCACTTTGGGAGGTCAAAGTAGAAGCATCACTTGAACAAGACTGTTGCTAGAAAAAAATTGTTTAAACTAGCTAGGCATGGCAGCATGCACCTATAATCCTAGCTACTTGTGAGGCTGAAGTGAGAGGATCGCTTCAGGATCACTTCATTGAGCCCAGGAGTAAAGGCTGCAGTGAGCTGGGATCATCATATCACTACACTCTAGCCTAGGTGATAAAGCAAGACCTTGTCTGTAAAACACAAACAAAAAAACACAAAAAACTATTTACAGAAGGGCTGAACTGCTAAAATACGGTACAGCAGAAATTAAAATCTAGTCTTTGTATTGACTCCAAACTTTAAAGTGTCTCAAAATTGTTAACTACAATAGTAGGAAAATACTGTACTTCATTGAATCTAAAATACTCTAATGCTTGCAGTCAATGATCTTGCCAGGTATCAATAGAAGGTTTTCACATAACCATGTCTCAATTACCACAAATGTTAGATGCCACTGATTATTAAAGGCATCTTGATTTCAGAGATTTCATGAAAAAAGTATACCTCGGGATTGATGAAACAGGGTAAATTCAAAAAGAAAAAAGAAGCCTGGCACAGTAGCTCACACTTGTAATCCCAGCACTTTGGGAGGCCGAGGCAAGTGGATCATTTGAGGTCAGGAGTTTGAGACCAGCCTGGCCAACATGGTGAAACCCCATCTCTACAAAAAAATACAAAAATCAGCCAGGCATTAATGGTGGCACATGCCTGGAGTCCCAGCTACTTGGGAGGCTGAGGCAGGAATTACTTGAACCCAGGAGGTGGAGGTTGCAGTGAGCCACGATTGTGCCACTGCACTCCAGCCTGGGCAACGGAGTGAGGCTGTCTCAAAAAACAAAACAAAACAAAAAAACAGAAAGAAAAAAGAAGGTAAATGGAATCAGAAAATAACATTGTTTAGGAATTTTTTTTAGAAATTAGGATTTTTCTGCCATCCTCAGCCAGACAGTAAGAAAAAACATTTTTTAATAGAAATTAGGATTTCTTTTTTTTTTTTTTTAATTGGCTATTTCTTTCTTCCAACAAGGAAGACCTGCTTTGTAGTTTGAAAGAGGGTTATATCTGATGGACCTATCAACTGGAATCATTTGGAAATTTAAAAATAATAAAGATTTTGAGATTCTACCCAAGGCTCAATGAATCAGAAACTCCAGGATGAAGCCAAAGAAACTGTTTTAAACACAAAACTCCCCAAATGCTTTTGAAAACCAGCCAGGGAGAAACAATCACTGGGAAAGTAAGAAACGACCCTTAAAATTTCCATGAAATACTGTAATTCTCTAATTTTCCTGTTTGCTGCTAAAAATGTTTTAAATTACAGTTCATTGCTGACCAACACATTAACTGTGATATAACTAAAACTTACCAAACTAAAATATACTTCTATTTTTACAGATCTCACAACTAATTAAAGTGGAGATATAACTCATAAATATTTACTTTTTAATATCCTTACATTGGAAGGCTGGTACACATAAAAGGTTTAAGTTGCAAATCCTCCTCTTCCTTTCACTCTATCTGATCTTGTACTGTTAGGATGTCTGTTGTCCTTTTCTGAGTCTCTTTGTATCCTAATCAGATAGGAAATATCTCTTTTTACTAAGATTGGTAATGCAGAACTCATATAGTTATAAAACGAAGTTTCAGAAAGTAAAAACTATGCTTACTAGGTAGTCATGGGTACTTAATGAATCTTAAGTCTCTTACTTTTTTATTTACCATGGCAAAATAAATCTAAATGGCTCAAATCTGAACTGAAATGCAAAAATGAAAATACTTCTGACTTCTGGCTGGGCGCAGTGGCTCACGCCTGTAATCCCAGCACTTTGGGAGGTCTGAAGCGGGCGAATCACCAGAGGTCAGGAGTTGGAGACCAGCCTGGCCAACATGGCAAAAACCTGTCTCTACTTAAAACACAAAAATTAGCCAGGGGTGGTGGGCGCCTTAACCCCAGCTACTTGGGAGGCTGAGGCAGGAGAATCACTTGAACCCAGGAGGCGGAGTTTGCTGTGAGCTGAGGTCGCACCACTGCACTCCAGCCTGGTCAACAGAGTGAAACTGTGTCTCAAAAATGAAAAGACTTCTTACCAGTCTTTAAATCCACTACACTTATTTTTTTTTTAATACAAGAGTTATCTTTTAGTTTCAGGAAGTCAAACTATCTTTTGGCAAAAAGCGAGCCTGTATTTACCAGCTACATGTTGTAGGAAAGTCGAACTTAAGTCTACTTGAAGAAAGAGAAACAAAAAGCCACAGATCTATGACCCTGTTTACGCCTAGCTGCTACTTTTAAAGGATGAAATATGGCTTCTTCTTTCTCCTTTGAAACAGAAAAATAATAGCTTTCTATTGTCTTCTCCCAACCAAAATTTGCACCAATAAAACAATTGATTATTTGAAGCAGTTATTCTCCACTTCTGGCGTTAGTCTTATAAAGTAGCCAAAATATTCTCGAGCACCACATTCAAACTTTTCCTCCTGTGATGAATATGTTGTAAATCTATTGCTGTTTAGGGCCACTTTTACTTCTTAAAATCACATTTTAACATTTTTAAAATTTCATTATTTGTCCCTGTGTGATTCAGGCATATATTACATATATTAGGTTATTAAAAGACAAATAAATGTTTGAATCCTGGCTCTGCCTCAGCTCACTGTATGACTTTGAGGAAGTAAATCCCTGTCTCTCGCCTTTACAGCTTTCTCATCCATAAAATGTAAATAACAACAACAAGCTGTTATGAAGACTACATGATACAATATATGTAAAATAATTCTGTAATTATCAAGTGCAACACAAAATATATTGTCTTTTTTGGACGAATATTTATTTAAAAAAATCAGAGACTACCTCAGGAGCTTGAAATTCTTACAGACTAAGTTAAATGTATTTCTGTTAAAAGTATGCAGCCGGGCCGCGCATGGTGGCTCACGCCTATAATCCCAGCACTTTGGGAGGCCGAGACAGGCGGATCACCTGAGGTCAGGAGTTTGAGACCAGCCTGACCAACATGGAGAAACCCTGTCTCTACTAAAAACACAAAATTAGCCATGTGTGGTGACGCCCTCCTGTAATTCCAGCTACTCAGGAGGCTGAGGCAGAATGGCTTGAATCCGGGAGGCGGAGGTTGCGGTGAGCCGAGATCGCGTCACTGCACTCCAGCCAGGGCAACAAGAGCTAAACTCTGTCTCAAAATAAAATAAAATAAAGTTTATTTGTTTTTGTTTTTTTTTGGGGGGGGCGGACAGAGTCTCACTCTGTCGCCCAGGCTGGAGTGCAGTGGCGTGATCTCGGCTCACTGCAAGCTCCGCCTCCTGGGTTCAGGCCATTCTCCTGCCTCAGTCTCCCAGTAGCTGGGACTACAGGCGCCCGCCACCACGCCCGGCTAATTTTTTGTATTTTTAGTAGAGACGGGGTTTCACCGTGTCAGCCAGGGTGGTCTCAATCTCCTGACCTCGTGATCCGCCTGCCTCGACCTCCCAAAGTGCTGGGATTACAGGCGTGAGTCACCGCGCCCGGCCAAAATAAAGTTTATATATATCCTGAATTAAGAATCAAAAGCAGCTGGGCATGGTGACTCATGCCTGTAATCCCTGCACTTTGGGAGCCCAAGGCAAGCTGGGAACAGCCTGGGCAACATGGTGAAACCCTGTCTACAAAAAATATAAAAATTAGCCAGGCATGGTGGCGCACACCTGTAGTCCCAGCTACTCAGAGGGCTGAGGTAGGAAGATTGCTTGAGTCTGGTCAGGAGATCGAGGGTGCACTGAGCTGAGATTGTGCCACTGCACTCCAGCCTGAGTGACAGGGTGAGACCCCATCTCTTAAAAAAGAATCAAAAGTAAAATTATACACACATTATATGCTTATGTGTTTAAGTACATTAATATTAAATATTTTTATTGTGATTACTTTTGGCTTCTGTCATCCACTCAATTTAGTGAATCAGGAAAGGTTTTTTTTTTTTTTGAGACGGAGTAGCGCATTCTCGGCTCACTGCAAGCTCCGCCTCCCGGGTTCACGCCATTCTCCTGCCTCAGCCTCCCGAGTAGCTGGGACTACAGGCGCCCGCCGCCACGCCCGACTAATTTTTTGCACTTCTGGTAGAGACAGGGTTTCACCCTTTTAGCCAGGATGGTCTCGATCTCCTGACCTCGTGATCCACCCGCCTTGGCCTCCCAAAGTGCTGGGATTACAGGCGTGAGCCACCGCGCCCGGCCTGACAGGAAAGTATTTTAATTGACACATGAGTTAAATGACATAGTTTACTGCTCTGCTGCACAAGAACAGCTTTTAAATACAATAGCATTACCACTTATGCAAGAATCTGAATTCGAACAAAAAATAGGCTCAGTAAAAATTAAAATGATATATATATATATATATTTTTTTTTTTTTTTTTTTTTTTTTTTTTTTGAGACGGAGTCTGGCTCTGTCACCCAGGCTGGAGTGCAGTGGCCGGATCTCAGCTCACTGCAAGCTCCGCCTCCCGGGTTCACGCCATTCTCCTGCCTCAGCCTCCCGAGTAGCTGGGACTACAGGCGCCTGCCACCTCGCCCGGCTAAGTTTTTGTATTTTTAGTAGAGACGGGGTTTCACTGTGTTAGCCAGGATGGTCTCGATCTCCTGACCTCGTGATCCGCCCGTCTCGGCCTTCCAAAGTGCTGGGATTACAGGCTTGAGCCACCGCGCCCGGCCTAAAATGATATATTTTTATCTGTAACTTTTATATATGGAGTTAAATTGTCTAGGCTTAAATCTGACCTTCAGTGTTTACTATGACCTTGGACAAATTAGATTTAACTAAATTCTGTGTCTCAGTTTCCTCGTCTATAAAATGGGAATAATATTGGTACCTTCCTCATAGAGTCATGAGGATTAAATGATATACAGCATGTAGTAAGCCTCTAAACACGTTTGGTACATATCAACAAACCAAATATTTGAGGATATAATAGAGTTCTCCTAATAGGAATAGTATTAGTGTGAAATTCAGTGGAATACTTGGGTTAATTCCTGGAAACACTAGATGGATTATACTCAATATAAGCTCCATGAGGGAAAGGAACAGAATTACATGGCATGAACCTTTGAGACAATATTTTAAGTAGACTGCTATCAATTTAGTACATGTCACATTGCTGAAAAACCTTAACAAAATTAAATTATTTTGTAAGAATTTGGTGGGACTTCCAAAGTAACTATGGGTAGAATTTAGAGAGAAGTAAAACCACCTTTTAGTAATTAAGGAACTTTATTTGGTATGGATTTTTAAAATAATCCAAAGTTTGCTCAACAGCAAATATTTGGGAACGAGGAAAACAAGTACATGTTCTATTTAAATGTCACAATTTTCAACTTAAGACTTTCATATCACAACTACATATTATCTTGCTTTTATAATATGTTTGGGATCATAAAATTAAAATTAGAGTCCTCCAAGCAAAAATTGACCAAGAGCCTTTTTTTAAAGGCATTTTCCCCTTTATTTTCCCCTCATTTCTATTTCCATTCTCTACCTGTAGGCCATGAGTACATAATTAGTTAAGTACATAATTAGCTCTCTCTTTTAATTTCTCAAATAACAAAGGGTAATATGCCAATAGTCATACCTATTATTATAATAACATTCTTGGTCTCCCTCCTTCAACAAATAAAAATCTTATATTTGTAGCAGTTTAAACATACACACATCACATGTATGATTTTGTGATATCTTACATGCAACCTCTTACTTTCTCACCTCTTTCTGAGACAAGCAATTGAAGAGGATTTAAAAAAAAAAAAAAGGAAAACTGGAATTTATGTGAAGACACAAAAGCAATCAAAAGAAAGAGAATTTTGGCCGGGTGCAGTGGCTCACGCCAGTAATCTCAGTGCTTTGTGAGGTCGAGGCAGGCGGATCACCTGAGGTCAGAAGTTCGAGATCAGTCTGGCCAACATGGTGAAACCCTGTCTCTACTAAAAATACAAAAATTAGCCAGGCATGGTGGCATGCGCCTGTGATCTCAGCTACTTGGGAGGTTGAGGCACAAGAATTCCTTGAACCTGGGAGGCAGAGGTTGCAGTAAGTCAAAATTGCACCCCTGCACTCCAGCCTGGCTGACAGAGCAAGACTCTGTCTCAAAAAAAAAAAAAAAACCCACAAAAAATTAGCCAGGTGCAGTGGCAAACGCCTATAATGCCAGGGAGGGAGGCTGAGGCATGAAAACTGCTTGAACCCAGGAGGCAGAGATTGCAGTGAATCCAGATAGCGCCACTGCCCTCCAGCCTGGGTGACAGAGCAAGACTCCGTCTCGATAAAAAAAAGAAAAGAGAATTCTATACTTTAAAAATCCCTATTGCTGGCCAGGCACAGTGGCTCATGCCTATAATCCCAGCACTTTGGGAGGCTGAGGCAGGTGGATCATTTGAGGTCAGGAGTTCAAGACCAACCTGACCAACATGGTGAAACCCTGTCTCTACTGAAAATACAAAAATTAGCTGGGCATGGTGGTGCATGCCTGTAAGCCCAGCTACTCGGGAGGCTGAGGCAGGAGAATCACTTGAACTCGGCAGGTAGAGGCTTCAGTGAGCTGAGATCATGCCACTGCACTCTGGACTGGGTGACAGAGCGAGACTCTGTATCAAAAAAAAAAAAAAAAATTCCCTATTGCAAATGGAAGGTCCGTTTATGCAAAATGTATTTCCTATTTCATCTAGCAAATCAAACATGGCTACCAGAAAAGTAGACTTAATAATTTTGGTGTTTTTTTTTTTTTTTAAGAATACAAATTTCTTTTAAAACTTTGCTAAACTGCTAAAATAGGATAGGAATAATGTGTCCTTTTTAGTAGTCTGCACATCACAAATATGCCATTCCCTAACTAACTGAAAACAAAAACCAATAAGTAGATTAGACATGTTGGAATACTTCATATGATACCAAGAGAACATTCTGCTCATTATATTAAGGGAAATTAAGTACGTGGGCTGACCTTCCTGTACCTGGATCCTGCAGTTCATCTACCAAGGCAGTCTCTATTCAAACACTCTAGAATGTTCAGCATACATTTCTTTGAAAACTAAGGATTTTATATCTGGAGATCATAAAATATGAATTTTCCATTACTATTATAGCCATTGTAAAAACGAGTATAAAAATTTTGAAACTCCAGCTATATTGAAATTTTAAATTTGAATGATTAAAAGATAGCATTTCAACTTTATTAGTTATTTTCCTCTTCAAATCAATTTCAGATATGAGTGCCTAAAGGGCAATATTATAGTTATGCTAGCAGCTATATTACTTAAATAAACCTTACCTATCCTTTTCCCTGAAATCAAAAGTTTCCCATTAAAAATAAACTTTAAAAAGCAGACCTTCCCAAAGCTTCTTCCAAACTGATGATGGCTGCTTGCAGCTGATTTTGACTGACTGCTTCAAGAGACAGGCCCAGACGAGAGGACTCAGTGACGGGTGGTGGCAGCCGTGCTTTGCTGGAGTGGCCTAACAAGTAGATAGTTGCCACAGTTTGAAATTCTGCTGAACAGCTGCTGCCCAGGACCATTCACTAGTCAACATTTTCAGATCCAGTTAATTGTTAAATTGGAAATCCTTGGGAGAATTTAGCATTACCAGAAAGACCATAGCCTACGGGCATCACTTCAAAGTATGGCAAGAACTTTTTCCTGGCTAGGTAGGCATAAAAGGCATAAGATGCAGATCATGTAGGCGAATATGGGAAAAGGAGGCAGGTAATATATTTGAAACCAACAGTTACCAAGAAGAAAAGTTAGTAGAGAGATAAATGAATTAGTCCTCAAACCCTTTACGATGTGAAAACAGATGTAGTGGGCCATAACATCCCTAGGGTTGTAGCATTCATTACCTAAGTAAGACAGGGCATGGAAGAATGAAACAAGCATATGACACTTGAGATATTAGCAACAAAAATTTCCAGAGTTAGTCATCCTCAAATTTCTATCATGCATTCATTTAAGCTTTAGGGAAAGTAATTCACTTACCAATTGCTGTTAAAATAAATAAAAGTGTGGCAACAGCTGATGTTCCATAAAACATGGTGCTGATATTATAAGCCAGGAGATTTGTGTCATTCTGTGTGTTGGGTACTAAAACTGGTGGTAGCAAAAAGCCAACTGCAGTTCCAAGCTGAAAAACACATAGTCTTGTTAACAGCTATTATCATTAGAGAAAAAAGTAAATGCTGGCAATTAACAGAACATAAAGAGGACAGCTGGTGTTTATTTTTATTTTTATTTTTATTTTTTTTTGAGACGGAGTCTGGCTCTGTTGCCCAGGCTGGAGTGCAGTGGCCGGATCTCAGCTCACTGCAAGCCCCGCCTCCCGGGTTCACGCCATTCTCCTGCCTCAGCCTCCCGAGTAGCTGGGAGTACAGGCGCCCGCCACCTCGCCCGGCTGATTTTTTTTTGTATTTTAGTAGAGACGGGGTTTCACCGTGTTAGCCAGGATGGTCTCGATCTCCTGAACTCGTGATTCGCCCGTCTCGGCCTCCCAAAGTGCTGGGATTACAGGCTTGAGCCACCGCGCCCGGCCGACAGCTGGTGTTTATAAAGGTGCTTTGAAAATTAAACTATTATGTTCTTTTGTTGTTTTTTTGTTTTGTTTTGTTTTGAGACAAAGTCTCACTCTGTCACCCAGGCTGGAGGGCAGTGATGTAATCTCGGCTCACTGCAACCTGTCCCTCCCAGGTTCAAGCGATTCTCCTGCCTCAGCCTCCTGAGTAGCTGGGATTACAGGCACACACCACCACGCCCAGCTAATTTTTGTATTTTTAGTACAGACGGGGTTTCACCATGTTGGTCAGGCTGGTGTCGAACTCCTGACCTCATGATCTGCCTGCCTCGGCCTCCCAAAGTGCTGGGATTACAGACATGAGCCACTGCACCCAGCCTAAACTACTATGTTCCAATATCTTTTTTACTATTGTATTGTTAAAGGGAAATTGCTGACCAATAGCTTTCCTATTCAAAAAACATTTACTGAGTTCCTACCATCTGAGTGATGCTGCTATCAAGCTGTGTAATATACAGTCCTTGCCCTGTAGATGCCTACAAAAGGGGAATAAGAATATGCAAAATAAGGCTGACAAAAGATGACCTACAGAATGAGAAAGTATTTGTAAATTATATATCTGATCAGGGTATAGCTTCCAGAATCTATAAATACCGATTACAACTCAACAACAAAAAAGCAATATCCCAATTTAAAAATGGGCAAAAAACTTGAAGAGACATTTCTCCAAAGAAGATATACAAATGGTCAATAAACATTTGAAAACATGCCCAAATCAAAACTATAATAAGATACCACTCCACACCAGGTAGCATGGCTACTATAATAATAATAATAGCAATAGGAAAGTGTTGGCAAGAATGTAGACAAATTGGAACCCTTGAATACTGCTGGTGAAACTATAAAATGGTGCAGCCACTGCAGACAACAGTTTGGCAGTTCCTTAATAAGTTTAACACAGAATTACCATATGACCTAGCAATTATACCTCTAGGTATATGTCCCAAAAACTGAAAACAGAAATTCAAACAAATAATTATATATGAATGTTCATAGCAGCCCTATTCACATTACCACAATAACCAAAAGGTGAAAATAACACAAACGTTTATCAACAGATAAGTGGATAAACAAAACGTTGTATATTCATACAATGAAATTATTCAGCTATTAAAAAGGAATGAAGTACTGATACAGTGCTACAACATGGATGAACTTTGCAAATAAGCTAAGTGACAGAAGCCAGACACAAAAGGTCACCTACTGTATGATTCCATTTATATGAAATATCCAGAACAAAACAGGTCAATCCACAGAAAAAGAAGGGAGATTAGTACTTGCCACAGGCTAGGGGAGGGGGCAATGGTGGGGAAGTGACTGTTTAGTAGGTATTGGGTCTTCTTTGGGGGTGGATAAAAATGTTTTGAAACTAGATAGAAGTAACAGTTGCACAACACTGTAAATGCACTAAATGCCACTGAATTGTACACATTAAAATGGTTAGTTTCATGTTATGTGAATTTTACCTCAACAAAAAATATGGCTAAATATCATAATCACAACAAGAATTAAAATCAAACTATTAGGAGGTTCAATGAAGGAAGGTTTTTAGGAGGAAGATTTTTAGGAGGAAGGGTGTGAAGAGAAAGGGCCCAAGAAAGGAGTCTGAGGCACAGAGAGTCACAATTATCATATATTTCATTTGCTGCCTTACAAAAAGCTGAATAGAGAGAATACAACTGATAATTACAAGACAGTGTGGTAATACAGAACTGTGATTGAGACATAAAGAGGGCCAAGACTGGGAAGACCACGTAATTTACTATCCATCTAGAACACTCTTCAGAATGAAAGGGACTTCATTAGTAATTATACCAGACAACAGGTGTACCACCTGGACTATCCCAGGAAAACTGGGACATATGATCATGGTAGTTAAGAGAGTACTTTGGGGGAGCACCTTACATAGAAATATTATTCAGCTATCAAAAAGAATGAAGTAAAAGAAATGGAGTTCAGGTGGCCGGGCGCAGTGGCTCACACCTGTAATCCCAGCACTTTGGGAGGCCGAGACGGGAGGATCACGAGGTCAGAAGATCGAGACCATCCTGGCTAACATGGTGAAACCCCATCTCTACTAAAAATACAAAAAATTAGCCGGGTGCGGTGGCGGGCGCCTGTAGTCTCAGCTACACGGGAGGCTGAGGCAGGAGGATGGCGTAAACCCGGGAGGCGGAGCTTGCAGTGAGCCAAGATTGCGCCACTGCACTCCAGCCTGGGCAACAGAGCAAGACTCCGTCTCGGAAAAAAAAAAAGAAATGGGGTTCAGAAAAAGTTCCTGGAGGACCAAAGATCTGAATAAGAAATTGGAGTTAGTCAAGTGAAGAAATATTCCAAGCCAATAGGACATTACATACAAGGCCAGGCGGGAAAGGGCATGACCTTGTGAGAAACTGTAAGTATGCATAGTTCTACATAGAGCAGAGAAAGCATACGTCTGTGGGGACAGGGGTTGTGGAGACAGATAAAGCAGAAGGGCTGGCAGGAGGCAGATCTGGAGGGTACCATATGTTGCATTAGTGTTTGAATTTTATCCTAAGGACAACGGAAGCCACTGCAGGAGTAAGGATGTGCCCTGAACAGATTCACACATGTAAAAGACCACACTGGATGAATGTGGAGAACAGAGGGAATAGGGCAAGGGCTACAAATAGGGAGGACAATTAGCAAGCTCCGGCCCAAACCAAGACAGTGGCATTAGAGATAAAGGGAAATGAGCAAGGAGAAAGCAATTTTGAGTGATGTGTTCCCATGAGATATCCAAGTAGACTACCCAGCTGGCCAGTATCCGTATGAGTCTGAAGCTCCTTTATTTATTCAACATGGTTTTAAGGAGAGTAATAAATGCTGGTGATACAGTTGTGTACATTCAGACCACATGCCTATTTTCATGAAACTTACAATCTAATGGTGGGGATGGGAGAAGAGTAATAGGTAAGTGACATAAACGTGTAAACAATAACATATAAGACAGGGATGAGTGCTATAAGGAGAATTAAAATAATGTAAAGAGAGTGACTGGGCAACTCTAAATGGGATCAAGAAATGCTACTGAATATTTAAAATGAATTTAAACTGAGAGATGTGTGACAAAAAGAATCTAATCATGGCCGGGCGTGGTGGCTCACACCTGTAATCCCAGCACTTCGGGAGGCAGAGGTGGGCAGAGAGCTTGAGCTCAGGAGTTCGAGACCAGCATGAGCAACATGGAGAAACCCCATTTCTTCAAAAAAACAAACAACAACAACAACAAAAAAACTTTATAATAGCTTCTGTCCAAACCTGCAGATGCAATCAACTCAAGTATCAGTCATAAATTGTTTTGGACACACAAACAACTATAGTTCAACCTACTCCATCTTCTGTACTTTTAGATTAGGGAAATGACTATAAAGCAATAAGCATGTAGATTCTCCGGCCTCGGCCACCTGAGTAGCTAGGATTACAGGCATGCACCACCATGCGCCACTAATTTTTGTGTATTTGGTTTTGCCATGTTGGCCAGGCCAGTCTCAAACTCCTGGCCTTGATCAAGTGATCCGCCTGCCTCAGCCTCCCAAAGTGCTGAGATTACAGGCATGAGCCACCACGCCCAGCCCAGAACTGTTAGTTAGCAGTCATTTACGTGTTCTTTATGTGCCAGGCACTGTGCTGACTGTTAATATATGAAATTAAAAGGGAGCTGTTCACAATGACCTCTCAAAATGGAAACAATCTTTCCAGAATCCAATACCTTCCTTTCACAAAGAATACACTGGTGACAAAAATAATACCTACCCAAGTCTTGTTTATTACTGCATTGACAAGTTTTCTATGTTAGGCATAAACAAGCCAATACAGTTAATTATTATTATTATTATGGTTACAGTTTATTATTATTATTTGAGATACAGTCTCACTCTGTTACCCAAGCTGGAATGCAAAGGTGTGATCTCCACTCACTGCAACCTCCACCTCCCGGATTCAAGAGATTCTCCTGCCTCAGCCTCCTGAGTAGGTGGGACTACAGGTGCCTGCGAGCAGGCCCGGCTAATTTTTGTATTTTTAATAGAGACGGGGTTTCCCCATGTTGCCCAGGCTGGTCTGGAACTCCGAACTTCAAGTGATCCACCCACCTCGGCCTCCCAAAGTGGCGGGATTACAGGTGTGTGCCACCGCACCCGGCCCAGTTAATTATTTTACAGGTAATTTTCTAAGCAAGATGACAAGGTGGTTTGGAAAATTCTGTCCTTACAAAGAAATTTATAGCCCTCTTCAATCCAAGACCGTCCGGAAGTCTATTTAACGGCCTTATCTCCTCTTTTATGGACAAATACCTCCTGGGGCAGTTCATCCACACAGGCCATAGTTCTCACGGCCTATGACATTTTCTGTCTTCTAAGGATCTTTCATCTACCACTCCAGTCCTTACCTGATTGCCCAGCACGGCGGTGGCACAAGCTGTGGACACCTCTTTGGGCCCAAACCACACTGAGGCGATGCGGGAGGGCAAGCCCAGGATGAACACCTGGGCCACGGAGCACAGGCACTGGCCCAACATGGTGACCCAGAAGAGATGCTGCTGCACACTGCCGCACTTGATCCAGGCACCCAGGCAGTTGAGGCCGGAGCCCAGCAGGGCGGTGAGCCGCAGGCCTCTGGTGTCTAGCAGCCAGGTGGCCGGGAAGATGAGGGGCACGTAGGCCACCATGTACACCATGGACAGCCAGTCGATGTGCAGCAAGGTGACGCCGTAGAAGCCCCCGAAGACGTTGCTGATGATGCTGTACTGAATCCACTGAAAGGCGTTTACCAGCGAGTACAGGCTGAAGATCAGGAGCACCACGAATCGCCGCGGGGAGAGCGCCGTCCGGGGCAGCGGGGTGCTCTCGGCCCCCGGGGTCTCCGCTCCGGCGCCCGCAGGCAGCAGCCGGGCCTGGGTCTCCTCTTCTGCAGCCAGCGGAGTCTGAGGCCCGCCCAGAACTCCCGAGGCGGCAGCGAGGCTGTCCCGGGGGGCCCCGTTCACCGGGAAGGTGCCCGCTTTGGGCCCGTTCTGCGGCTCCACGCTCTCCTTCCCAGCTGGCGCGCCCCTCGGCAACGGGAGGTATCCTTTCGCGAGCGGGTGTCCGGGCGCCACCGCCGCCCCCTCCTCATCGTCTGGCCGCGCCATATCCCTGGCTCCCGGACGCCACCTCGCTCCCCCGCCCCACTCCCCGACTCCGCTCCCCGGGTCCACAGCCCGAGGTCCTCCTGGGACCCCACCTCCACCCCCTCGGCCCACCGCTCCTTCCCCGGTGGCGCGCGCCACGAACCGCAATCCGCGCTGCAGTGTGAACAGGTGAAGGCGTCCTCCCCGGCGCGGCGCGGCAGTCACCCCTCGTCTGGTCCCGCCCCTAGAGTCGCGCGTCCCGCATGACGACGGCCCTCCGGCCAGTCAGCGCGCACCTTTGCCCGGCGCGAGAGCCAATCGGGGAGCTGCCGGGCGCGAACTGAGGGAAGCAGGGGAGGAAAGCGGGCTGGGAGCACTTGCTGACGTTTTCCTGCCCGGAAGAATGCATGGCCCGGGGTCCTTTGCACCTGAGGGTGGGCGGGAGGCGGCCCCGCGGGTTGTGTTGCTGGAAGAAGGGGTCTCGATCCAGACCCCAAGAGAGGGTTCTTGGGTCTACCGCAGGGAAGAATTGGAGGCGAGTCACAAAGCGCAGTAAAGGAAGCAAGTTTATTTGAATCTACTCCGTTACAGAGTCGCAAGTCCTCAGACTGTAGGAGGAACTCCCGTCCTTCCGTAGTGTCACTACTTAGAGGCAACTGTGCGGAGCTGTGATTAAACGTGGAATGTGCTGATGTGCCCACTAAAGGTAGGGGCTGTTGGTGCACTAATGACCATTAATCCTTCAACCTAAGCCTGCGCATTGACGTTATCTCTGAGTAGAGGGCTGGGCCGGGCTCAGTGGCCACTTCTGTAATCCCAGCACTGTGAGAGGCCGGACAGGAGGCTCCCTTGAGCCCAGGAGTTCGACACCAGCCTGGGCAACATACTGAGATGCCATCTATTTGGAAAAAAAAAAAAAAAAAGCAAGCAGCCAGTCGTGGTGATGGATGCCTGTAGTCCCAGCTACTCGGGAGGCTGAGGCAGGAGAATTACTTGAACCTGGGAGGCGGAGGTTGCAGTGAGCTGAGATAGCAACACACTGCCCTCCAGCCTGGGTGACAGAGTGAGACCTTGTCAAAAAAAAAAAAAAAAAAAAAAAAAAAAAAAAATTAGGACATCTGGACATTCCACAGACTTGGTGGGAGAAGTCCTGTATGGTCATAAATATTGTGTAATTATAATTGCTGGTCAGCTTAGAATGCGGCTATTTTCAGACCTTTAGCATTAACCTTATAGGTGCCCTGTGAGTGCCTAGTTACTCACTTTAATATGCAGTCGCTCTGGCTGTGTTTTATTAAACCAGATACCTGGTAAGCAGTGGCTTCTCTAACAAGTGGGCAGCTTGGAACTGGGAACGAGAGAGCCACCGAAACAGAATGAGGGAGACAAAGAAGTGGGCATCACCCTCAGCTCCACAAGGGCTTCCCAAGGTCGCTGTACCGTACGCAGGCCCGGGACGAACTTTATTCTCGCCCCAGCATCGTTGTCCGTCTCAGTGAGACCCTGGCTTTAGGGCAGACAGGACCACGTTTCATAAATTCATACTGTCCCAGCAGAGGAATAACGCCAGAAAGCGTTCCAGTACAACCAGAGAAAGAGAATCCATGAGAAATCTGCCCTTGTGAAGTTGGAATCCCCTCAACCTCACCCCGCTGACTTGAATGAAGCGACTGAGATGGGCTGTGATGGAGCAGATCTGGTTGCTCGACCTTCTCCCTTGGACCAACACATGTAGTTAATAGTTATTGGACATGCACATTCAGTGGGTCCAGTGGGTTCCAGGTACCAAACTTGTGCTGAATGGTATGTGCCAGACACTGTCTTGCGATCTGGGGAATAAAAAAATAAAAACGAGATTATCCGGAGCACAGTAGCCTTGCGGTCTTCCTGGACTAGAGAAAATTCAACCCTTCTGCTTCTTGGGAAGCTTTGTTCGGGGAAAAAAAAGAAAGAGACCCCAAAGAATTTGTTATTAAATTGAAGTTGAAACTAGGTGTATATAGTACAAGAGTTCTTACCATGCATTTAATCTTAAAAAGTGCTGATATCTAGAACCCTAAAACCCTGCACTTTTTTATTGCCTCTTACATTATTATTTTGGTCATGTATGAAATATTTCAGGCATCTCTCGGTACAGGTGAAATGCTACATGTTCTAAACTAAGGAATAAGTGCATTATAATGTCTTCCTTGGCCAAACTGTATAAATTGCCACCCCCAACCCCCCGCCCCGCCAACATCCCTTCCCTGCTGTTTTTCTTTCTTTCCTAGTGCTTACCTTCACCTAAAATGTCCTATATTTTTACTTATTTTTTCTAGTTTCCTTCCTTCCTTCCTTCCTTCCTTCCTTCCTTCCTTCCTCCTCCTCCTTCCCTCCCTCCCTCCCTCCCTCCCTCCTTCCTTCCTTCCTTCCTTCCTTCCTTCCTTCCTTTCTTCCCTTTCTTTCTTTCATCTTGCTCTGTCACCCAGGCTGAAGTACAGTGGTGTGATCTCGGCTCATTGCAACCTCCGCTCACTGCAACCTCCGCCTCCCAGGTTCAAGTGATTCTTCTGCCTCAGCCTCCTGAGTAGCTGAAATTAAAGGGCTGCACCATCATGCCTGTCTAATTTTTGTATTTTTTTTTAGTAGAGATGGGGTTTCACCATATTGGCCAGTCTGGTCTCGAACTCCTGACCTCATGATCCCCCCACCTTGGCCTCCCAAAGTGCTGGGATTACAGGCCTGAGCCACCATACCCAGCCTCTTTGTCTCTCTCTCTCTCTCTCTCTCTTCTCGGCTGACCACCAAGCCTGAGTGCTTTTTGTATGTTTTGTAGAGATGGGGTTTTGCCACATTGCTCAGATTGGTCTCAAGTAATCAGCTCACTTTGGCCTCCCAAAGTGCTAGGATTACAGGCATGAGCCATTGTGCTGGTCCTTTTTCCGGTTATTTTCTCCCTGCCCACTAGAATGTGAGTTCTGTAAGGGCAGGGCTGAAAGTTTTGTTGCTTTTTGCTACCGCTACTATTTTTCAAGAATTTGTAACCAGTGTACTTTGTGTACCTAGCACATAGTAGGTGTTCAATAAATATTTACTGAGTACAGCTAATGAGCACTGAATTACCGTGAATATTTTAAATAATTGCTTGCTTTGTAAAGGAATGTATTTCTTCTCTCCTCCCAACTGCTGCTGCATGGCCATCATGGACACCAGCCACGTGCAGCCTGTCTAGCTGGCCAGGGTCACCACAGTCCTGGGCAGAAACAGCTCTCAGGGACAGTACACGCAGGAATTTGTGGACGACATAAGCCACTCCATCATCCACAGTGTAAAAGGCTCTGTGCGTAAGGGCTGTGTGCTCACCCTGTTGGAGTCAGAGCGAGAGGCCTGGAGGTTGCACTGAGCTTGGCTGCTCACTGGGTCTTGAATATTGGGTTCGACCACTTGGTCCGTGAGAGTGCTGTGCCAGGACCTGCTCCTTTATTTTATTTTTTGCCGGCCACACAGGAATTGAGATATGCATTTAAATAAAGTGTTTGTGTTCCAAATTAGAAAGAAAAGAAAAAGAAAGAAAGAAAGAAAAAGAAAAAGAGAGAGAGAGAGAGGGAGGAAGGAAGGAAAAAAGGAGGGAGGAGAGAAGGAAGGAAATCTTTTTTTAAAAATTCTTATTTTTTATTTATTTATTTTTTTGAGATGGAGTTTCGCTCTTGTCACCCAGGCTGGAGTGCAGTGACACGATCTCGGCTCACTGCAACCTCTGTCTCCTGGGTTCAAGCGATTCTCCCTCCTTAGCCTCCCAAGTAGCTGGGATTACAGATGCCCACCACCACGTGCAATCTGTTTCTTAAAAAAAAAAAATCTTGTCCGGGCATGGTGGCTCACACCTGTAATTCCAGCACTTTGGGAGGCTGAGGCAGGTGGATCACGAGGTTAGGAGATCGAGACCATCGTGGCTAACATGGTGAAGCGCCATCTCTACTAAAAATACAAAAAATTAGCCAGGTGTGGTGGTGGGCGCCTGTAATCCCAGCTATTTGGGAGGCTGAGGCAGAAGAGTGACTTGAACCCGGGAGGCAGAGCTTGCAGTGAGCTAAGATCACACCACTGCACTCCAGCCTGGGTGACAGAGCGAGACTCCGTCTCAAAAAAAAAAAAAAAAAAAGTCTTGCAAACTTCCAGAAGGAAGGGAAGGAGGGAGGGAAATATCTTTCTTTCTCTTTTTCTTTCTTTCTTTTTTTTTTTTTTTTGACAGAGTTTTGCTCTTGGAGTCCAGGCTGGAGTGCAATGGCGAAATCTCAGCTCACTGCAACCTCTGCCTCCAGGGTTCAAGTGATTCTCCTGCCTCAGCCTCCCAAGTAGCTGGGATTACAGGTGCCTGCCACCACATCCGGCTAATTTTTGTATTTTTAGTAGAGACAGGGTTTCTCCATGCTGGTCAGGCTGGTCTCAAACTCCCAACCTCAGGTGATCCACCTGCCTCAGCCTCCCAAAGTGCTGGGGTTACAGGCATGAGCCACCGTGCCCGGCCGCCATTCTAATTTCTTAATCTTGTCTTCTTTCTCTGGCTTCAGTGGTAGATACTTATTAACCAGTTTAAACATGAATCATAATTTATATCAAATGTTTGGATGTATAACATAGAATGAACCTTAATCTCTGTCAAAAAAGATACTGCTGGGAGCATCATTTGGCTAGGAGTCAAGATGAGATTGAGCTACTTTATGGGTGTGGAATGCCAAGTCAGAGAGATCTGAATAAGTAAGACTTCAGCAATATGAGACCTGGACAGCATCCAGGAGCCAAGGTCCAAGATGCTAATAGGAGTGATGTAGCTGTCCCTGAACAAAGGTTTCCCACAGTTTACGAGCCTCAGAGGTTAAGATGCAAACCAGAACAATGCTATTGGATATGCAATCCGTAATGTTTCATGGGGAGGTGGGTAGATTTGGCCAGCCTTGCCTTCAGTTTACTCCTACTAGCACCAGACTTTGTCCCCCTGAGCAGCAGAGGCTATATGGTTCTGTTCTGTGAAAAGAACAAGTTGGAAATGGAGGAGTAGAGGGGAAGGCTGGAAATCAGAATTCTCCCACATGTATTCTTCCCTCCATTGAGACATTTTATTTGTATGTATTTATTTATTCCTAAAAAAAAAAAAGTCCCAGGATTTTTTTCTCCTATGTTTTTGTCTTGTTTCTTCTCAGTCCATGATGCCAGTTGAGGTCATCAGTACAGCAAAACCAAACTGGTGAGATGGCAACAAATTATTCTGTCACTTTTCTAATCTTTTTTTTTTTTTTTTGAGATGGAGTCTCGC